AACACAGGAGATGCTGTTTGTGATGTCTGCTGCTCCCTGACAACTCTTCAAATGAAGTTTCCTTTGGAATGATGGGGCTGCCTCTAGCCATGCATCTCCCAGGCTGCAGGGGGGCGGGGATGGTGAGGGACTGGGAGCTCCCCTGAGAGCCCAACGTCCCTGTCTTTGGACAGGAATGGGTTCTCTCCCTCGAGTTCTACCCTCAGCTGAGGGGCTTGTTAAGATGGTTTGCAGCCTAACCAGGAACACTGGCTAACCACAGAATTGAAGTTCACCTGCCCTGTGCTCTGGGACATTCAGGGGTGTCACCTGCTTGGTTCCTGTCCTCAACACAGTCGCCTGATTGGCTCCACTTGGCTCCTGTCATTTTTAAATTCCATCGTTTCATTCAACAATGGCATCCTGACACACACACACACACACACACACACACACACGCACACACACACGAGCACATATATACACTCGGTTATCAGATAGACTGCCTCATTTATTATTTGAGCCACTGCAATGTACCAGGACTGTTCTAGGTTGAGGATACAGCTCAACTGACTATGGCTTCGCTCTTCCCCAGCTGACTCCTGGACTGGCTGGCTGGCTCCTTAGAGAAGTGATATGGACATAATGACAAAGAGCACAGGTGCCAAGGCCAGATGGCTTGAGTTCAAATCCCAGCCCTGCATTCCACTAGCTGAGTTTAGGCCAGTCAGTGTTACCTCGGGTTGCTCTCTGAGCCTTACTTTCACCGTGTGTAAAATGGCAATAATAATCAGGTCTATCTTCTCGAGTCTCTGTCTTCTAGGGTTGTTATGAGGATGACATGAGTGAATACAGAAGTCCCCCCTCCTCCCCATCGTCAGCGGTTTCACTTGCTGAGGTTTCAGTTACCCGTGGCTGACTGCAGTCTGAAAATATTACATGGAAAATTCCATTCCAGAAACAAACATTTCATAAGTTTTAAATTGCATGCGTTCTGAGTGGCGTGATGAAATCTTGTGGTGTCCTGCCTAACCTTAATCCTGCCCAGGACATGAATCACCCCTTTGTCCAGTGTATCCACACAGTATAGCTACCTCCCACCCCGTTAAGTCATGTAGTGGGTATCTCAGTTATCAGATCAACTGTTCCAGTATCACAGAGCTTGTGTTCAGGTAACCCTTATTTTACTTAATAATGGCCCCAAAGTGCAAGAGCAGCGATGCGGGCAATTCAGATACGCCAACGAGAAATCACAAATTGTATGTATATATAGGAAAAAACCATAGTATGTATATAATAAAGTTTGGTAGTATCTGTGGTTTCGGGCATCCACTGGGGGTCTTAGAATGTAGACTTCATGGATAAGGGGGACTACTGGACAGGTGAAATGCTTAGAATATTGCCTGGCACCTAGTAAGTGCTCAATAAATGTTACCATTGGGCCGGCCGAGTGGCGCGATGGTTAAGAACTCGCTTGGGATGCCAGAGGGCCCCGGTTCGGATCCCACATATGAGGGCCAGTGACACTGCCCTCTACAGCTAAGATGCTGAACAACAGCTCGACCTGGAGCTGGGCTGCCGTGAGTTGCTGGCGACGGCATAGGCTGCAGTCCCTGTGGCAGTGGGTTGCCATGGACTACCGTATGTAGCCAGCAGCCAGCGTGAGCGGCCAGCAGCCGCAGTGAGCGGCCGTCCAGAAGCCGGCGACTGATCTGCCTCGCCAGGGAAGAGCGCAATGATGGTGCCAACTTGGGCCAGTGAAGCAGCGTCCTCCACAACTAGATTGAAGAACAAAACGACAGCAACTTGTCTGTTCCCCTTCCCCTAATTCCCCAGCACTGTTCCCATCCCCCCAATTACCCAATAAAAAAAAATAAAATAAATGTTACCATTATTGTTGACTTTGCCAATGTCCCTTAGACATCCTATGGGTACTCCTGGAGCCAATCCTTGTTCAACCCTAGTGCTGGTCTTGACATAGACACTCATGGGCAGGGAAGGGGACCACCCCTCTGGAAGAAGACCCTAGAGTGGGTGTGGGAGAGGGTACTGTGTGTGCAGTCAGAATATGTGACCTTACATCCCGGCTCCACCATCGATCTGCTGTGTGATCATGGGTAAGTCACCCAGCCCCGCTGGGCCTCTGTTTCTCTAGGTTAAGTGCAGGTTTCCTCCCAGCTCTAACTTGAAGGTGACAATAAAGAGGCTACCACCTTGCCCGGGGCTGGGGAGGGATGACTGTGGAGGGCGGGGGGAGGTGGGGCGGCGACGGGAGTTTGTCCAGGGGTCTTCTGAGAGGGTGCTGTGCTTCCAGCTCCTCATCTGAGGCAGGGTTAATGTATCCACATTCAGGCCTTCTCTGCCTATATAACAGACCCACTGCTGCTGCCAATGAAAGGGAACCCGAGTGAGGAGAGCTTCACTGGAGTTAAAGCAGGAGACAAGGTGGCCAGGCATCAAGAGGAATTAATTGGCGACCAGGAGAGTCAGGAAGCAGAGTTGGTTCTGCAGGGGAATGTAGAGTGGCTGTTTCTGGCCAAAGGCCCTTGGGAGCATGGGCCCTTGAACCTCAGCATCCCAGCTGGGAGGCATCATCCGAGTACCTCCCCCGACCTCCCCCTCCCCCACCGTGCCATTTGCAGGGAAGGTGGATGAGGGCAGAGCAAGCTGCAGGAGGTGCCGCTTGATGCCAAGGACAGTGGCTTGGTGGGGAGCTGGGACTAGACTCTGGGAAGCCAATCTGAGAATCTTAGCGTGGAGGGAAGCAAGGGCTCCCGATCAGCGGCACGAGCCTGCACCAGCCTTGGTTATGCCGCTTCCCTTTGATCGGGAGCCCTGCTTAGAGACGCGCTCATGAGTAATGCATGAGAGATGCTCTGGCACAGTCAAAGGGCTGGGCCCACAGCCTGGGATAGGCACAGGCAGGCACGCGTGCGCGCACACACACACACACACACACACACACACGTACACGCATGAACGGGCCATTGCACACACATGCAGGCACACGTGTGCAGGGGCCATCACACACACACAAGCTATGACACACATACATGGGCTATTACACACAGGCCCTTCCTCCCACATTCACACTAATTCAGGCACACCCCAAATTAAACAGACAGACATTTAAACAGATGGACATGCATATACTCTCCATACATATGTGCAGGTAGGCACACACTTGTATACACTCATAGACATATTTCTACATGCTCAGATCACAAAGATGCATGCACACACATGCTCATCAGCACATACACACACATACATGCAGACACTCATGTCTAAGCACAAACACACATGCACTCACACAGGCAGCCTCTTGTGCACGGGCACACATGAGCACACATACACACAGGAATGCACATTTACGTGCATTGTATACTGCTATACGCACACATTCAAGTATCACACACTGCTCACACACATGAACACACATACAGGGTCCCAGGGAGCTCCTAACATGCCCATGACCATGCTTTTCTCTTCCCCTCATTCTAAGTACATGGCAGTGACCTCTTAGGAAGGCTGCCGTTGCTGCTTCTCAGTGGCAGCAGTAACATCCAAGAGGGGAGACCTTTTCCTCTCTTTTCTCTTTGCTAAGACGCTGCTTCCACCCTCAAGGAGGGACACGGAGGAGGCCGGGGTGGGAGAGAGTGCTGGTGGGGCTCCAGGGCCCAGGTGGTAGAAGGCTTTCCCATCCAACCCCTTCCTTCTCCTCTCACTCAGGCCCCATTGGAGGCTCAATTCATCGCTCAGAGGCTTAACCTGGAAGGAGGCAAGGGATGGGGGCCAGGGCCCAGAGGCAAGGGACACACCCCAGGCTTCCAGACTGATAGAGAGCAACTGACTAATAAATAGATAAATGGACCTGTAGCCACAGAATCCGCAAATCCTGACCATTTCTGAGCAACAGGCCAGAGGTTCTCAAAGTGCGGTCCCTGGCCCAGCAGCATCAGCAGCACCTTGGAAATTGTTAGAAATGCACATTCTCGGCCCCACCCAGGCCCACTGAACCAGACTCTGAGGGTGAGGCCCCAGCAATCGGGGTTTGCCCAAGCCTTCCAGGTGATTTGGGTGCACGCTCAAGTCTGAGGACCATGGCCCAGTCCACGGGCCTGGGAGGAAGGCAGACCTGGGTCAGCATCTGGCTTCTGCAGCTGTGAGTCCTTGGACAAGCCACTTAGCTGCTCTAAGCCTCAGTGTCCCAATGTGAAGTAGAAATAATTGTAGTACCTACTCATAGGCGCTGTCATGAGGAAAAAGGAGGCAAGTATTTAGCATTGTGCCTGGCTCACTGAGCTCTCGGCGGTGGTAACTATTGTTATTATTACTTTAATTTCCAGAAGAACATTTACAGCTACTGGTTCTCAGGGTCGGCCAGTCTCCTAAACCCTCAGCTACTCTAGTAGAAGATGTAAAAACATTGGGGAACTGAGCCAACACCTTACAAAGCAAAGTCATGGCCAGATCCCCATAAGAGCAGTAAATTAAGGAGGGGACAGGGCTTTATCTGGACACCATACATGCTAAGGAATGTTCACAGAGCACTTGTTCAAGTTTTAAGCCTCCTGCCATCCTTGGAGGATGTGCCCCCTATTTCCCTCTCGGGAGTGGAGAGCTCACCCCCAAACTCAGCCAGCCTCGTGGAGATGGATGCACTGAGACCCAAAGCCAAGGGCAGGGAGGGAACACACTGGTCTCAGGGCCTGTTTGTGTGTCTGGCTGCACTTCTCCCCTCCCCTTCTCCAGCCTCATCTCCCCACCTGTGCTCCTCTGATGATTTAAGGAAAGGTGGCACACTCATACTGCTTGTCCGCTGTATGGAAACTTTTAGGATTTGTGCTGGGACCAGCCCAGGTGACCACATCCCACAGCTCCCCTGAGTCAACCGTCCCCGACAGGGAGAGGCTGAGCCCTAGGGATTTCTGGCCCCATGGCTCTGTGTGATTAGGGAAGAAAGTAAATGGTGTGGGAGGTTCAGCTTGTGTGCTGCAGCGGGAGGGAGAGGGCCTTACCTTGAAGAAGGTCATGGTGGCCCCATCCTTGACAGCCCCGTACTCGATTTTGGTTTGCTTGGCCAGGTCATCGGCAGAGTCGATGGGCGATTCCATGCGCTCCACAGTCAGAAAGGCGGCCAGGTTGGCCGTGTAGGAGGAGATGATGATGAGTGTGAAGAACCACCAGATGCCACCGATGATCCGGGTGGATAGGGCTTTGGGCATCAGTTCAGACCCTGGGAGAAGGGAGGAGACAGATGGCCTCTGACAATGTCCATCCAGTCCAGGGCCGCTTGGGTCCTCCAGGTCATGGACTCCACTGACAATCTATAACAACAGCTGAGACCCTTCCCCTAGGCCAGTGGTTCTCAAACAGTGGTCCTTGGACCAACAGCCTCAATATCACCTGGGAACTTGTTAAAAATGCACATTCTCAGGCCCCACCAAGGACCTACTGAATCAGTAACTTCAGCGGTGGGGCCTCACAGTCTGGATTTGATAAGCCCTCTAGGAAATTCTGATGCAGGCTAAAATTTAAGAACCACTGCTTTAGAAGAACATGGCAGCATTTCACAGGCTTGTCAGACCTCCTGATGTCCTTCTGTGGACCCCTGTGTGGTTCCACGTTCAGAACCCCTGGGACTCAGAACCCCTGGGTTCTTGAGTGAGTCCTGCTCCTGACTCTCTGTGTGATTGTGTGCCAGACCCTCTCCCTCGCTGGGACTCTGCAAAACACGGGGAACCATCTTTCCTCTGTCCCAGCCTCACACATACATCATGATGCTGCAAAGATATAATTTGAGGAGAAATTGTGTTGGAAACACAAGTGGTATACAAATACAAGATTGCTATGTGGTGATTTGCGGGAGGAGAAAATCAACATTTTTTGAAGCTCTTTGCCAAAATAGATCGCTCTCCTCCCTGACCTTGGGTGTGGAGCACAATTTAGATGAAACCTTCTAACTGAAGTAATTAACTAGGTGGCTTTCAAGAGATTTAAATAGCAAGTGACTCCTGAACTTTCCAGAATATTTGGACCTGCAATCTGAAAAGCGTCTGCTTTGATATGGATGTTTTTTTTTTTTCTCAAAGAAATCACTCAAGGGAGAGGTTTTTCAAATACACAACTATTTTCCTCCCTCCTAATCAAAACCTCACAGGGAATACATCAGGGGCCAGTGCTTTGAATAGCAGCAGGAGATGGAAGAAGAGAAGCTATTACTGCATCGAGGGGCTTCCAGGTCTATCCCAACTGTCACTGAACAAATATGATGGACAAAGAAGCAAGGTGAGGCTTCAGGACACTCATTAACAGCGGAGACAGAATGAGGCACTTCCCTTGAGAGCTGTCTGTCACTTCCCACCAAGACGCCTCAGCTTCCTCTCCCTACCAGCCACCCCCAGCCTTACCTGCCTGGCCCTCCCCTAGATTGCTCCTGGCGAAGGCTAGAGCTGCTCCCCACCCCCCAGCAAAGGAAGAATGACTTAGTTTAGTTGTTTGCTTGGTGAGCTCCACCAGGCTCTGTTGGGGCCCTATCCTGGCCCAAGCCCCTGCCCTGACCTCTGCCATGCGTGGGAGAACATTCAGGTGGGGCACAGGTTTCTCTTTCCTTTTCCTCCTTCATTCAAGTGCCCAGCACAGTGCTTGGAAGGAGGTGGGCACTCAGGACACAAGGGAACATCATTCATTCATTCAAACATTCATTCGGCATTGGCTGATGGATGTCTACCAAAGACCAGGGCTTGTACTGGGTCCTAAGGATGTGTACAGACGAGTGAGGGACAAGGACATTTTCTTTGCTCTTGGATCCTCTTCCCTCTCATGCCCCCTTGTCACCCACTGTCCCTCAGTGGGACCCTAACACAGGCAGAGATTTTGGTTCCCCCATTTCTTGAGATAAGAGGCTCTGGACATGTGACTGATAGGCAGATGCAATGACCACACGGCTCCTGGTCAGCAGAGCGGGTGAAGGTGGGGGTGTTCTCCATGGAGGTCTTTCCTGGCTGGGGGTCCTATTCCCGGTGCCCACCTCGAGCCAGTCTCTTCATCACCCTCCTTGAAGCCAGAGCAGAAGCTCTGCTTTCTGAGATATTTGAGCAGCTGCAGGTATTTCTAAAGGGAGGGTCACCAGCCCAGGGTCAGGTTTAGTACACTGGCCCTCCCTTAAGAGGGTGTAAGAACGTGGTGTCCTTCTGTGTGTCCCATCTCTGATGCCCTCAGGCTAAAGTCCCTACCTCAGACATCGCCCTTCCTACAACCAGGGTCCCTACAGCCAGGTGGTCACTGAGTCCTGCCCCTGCTACATCCTGAAGTCCTCTTAGTCCTTTACCTCCATGGCCACTACCCCAGTTCAGGTCTCATCATCTCATTCCTGTAGTGGCCTCCCACTCAGCCTCCCCGCCTCTAGTCTCTCCCCATCCTCAGCCCAACTTTGCTCAGCCAGATGCTGTGGTGAGGCCATTGGGTCAGCCCCAGCAAGCAGGATGCTCTATGTCCATGCCAGCTGGAGCAGGAGAGGCTGGGATAAGCCCTGCATACCGAGGTTGGGGGTGGCTCATCTGCTGTAGCCTTAGAACCTGAGCTGGACCAAAAAGAGTACTGGTGGAAGTGGGGGACGTGGGTCAAGGGCACACACCTGGGTGTCCAGGTGTCTCCAACCTGAGATGGCTCAGCAGGTGTGAGGCTATCCTGAAAAGTGGGCAGACTCTACTGACCCCACAGAGGCTGAGCCCCCTACCCCTGGAAAGGAGGGCCCCCAGGGAGAGGTGACCCCCCTGGGGTGGGGGCACATACCTTGCTGCATGAGTGACCCCATTCCGAACCAGAAGCTATTTAGCAGAGTGAAGTTGTTTTCCACCACCTCGGAGCCAGGGTTGCACGGGTGCGCGTCGTACCACTCGTAGGGGCTGAACCTGCAGCAGGAAGAGGGAAGCAGTGAGGCTGAGCTGCGGGGAGATGGGAGGGGAGGGGTGTCCATGTCATACCAGCTGGCGGTTTAGCAAGCATGGAAGTGCCGACCACTTGAGCATCAATTGCCTCATTGTTCGGCTGGGGAGGCGGGGAATGGGAAGTCAGGGCCATTTTGCTCCTTGTGCTTTATCGTTAGTGCCTTTTGCTGGTTATAGAAGCAATTCAGCAGTATCTCTTAAAATTAAAAGTGCACATGCCCTTCAACCCAGCAATTCTGCGACTCATTATCCATCCTTGAAAAAACGCTCCTGCGTGAGCATAAAGAGAAGCGCGTGAGGGTGTTTACCAGAGCACTGTTTGTAACAGCAAAACACTGGAAACAACCAAAATGTCCTTCAACAGAGGAATGATGAAATGAGCTACGCCACAACCGTACTTTGAAATATCACACAGCCGATAGAAGAGAACGAGATACTTCTAGATGTACTGACAGGGGAAGATCTTCAACATATACTGTTCAGAAAAAAACAACAACAAAAAACCAATATGATCACATTTATATAAACAGCTTTCCAAAGGCACAGCTATCCACTTCTTTATGTACACTTGTACATACATGCCTATAATGAGTCTGGAAGAATCCATATCTAAAAAATATCACTGTTTTCCTCTGGGGAGGGGAGTTTTAGAATGGCAAAAGGAATTTTAGGGAAGCTTGTTGCTTTATATGTATTATATATGAATTTTAAAAAATGAGAATGGGTGTACTAGTCAGGGGAATCACTTCCTAAATTATATAATTGTCTAACCACTATGCTATACACTTGAAACTAATATAAAATAATACTGAATGTCAACTCTAATGGAAAAATTTAAAAAGTGGGGAAAAGGTCAATAATATTATGATAGCAGGCTACAGGTCAGATGGTTGCTGGACTTACCGTGGTGATCACTTCTTTAGCATAGGGGATAGAATCAATAACGTGGTAATAATGCTATATAGTGCCAGGTGGGCACTGTTGAATAACTATGATGTATACCTGAAACTAATATAATATTGTATGTTAGCTGTATTTTAATAAAAAATCTTAAAAAAAATGAGAACGGGTTTTTGAACTACTTGTATTATTTATGATTATTTATTACTATTTTAATATTTATTTACCGTTTTGAATTACTTGTATATTACTGAAAAACTTAAAATGGAAAAAAAATAATAAAATGCACTCTTCATAAAATATTCCAACAGTGTTTGGGAGGATACAATGAGAAAGTAGCAGTAAGTACTCCATGATCCCACACCCTGGAGAGAACAATGTGCTACGCTTTTTCAGATTGTTTTCTCTGAATGTCCACATGCATGTATGACAGGGGAAAATGGTTACTTAACACCTCCCACTGCCTTCTAAGGAAGAGAAGTCCTGATAACTGGAGGGAGGGGCCTTTGTTTATGGCTGGAGTTCCCGTTGAGGCAATGTAAGATGTGGAGGAAACTAGAGCACTCTGGAGAGATGGGGAGAGCCTGGAGGAAGTCTCCAAGAGGCTGGTGGGGCTGGTATGACATGAAGCAGAATATCCTGGTGGCAGAAAAATGCCTTACTCAATGCTGAACCCCCGGTGCTAGGCAGGCACGGGCCAGGCCAGGCCAGGCCAATTTGCAAGATGATCAAGCCCTGTGCCATGCCGAGGTTGCCATGGAGCAGCTCTGGGAACCTGCCCACCTTTGCAGATCCCATCTCTCGGGGAGCTGCGTCCAGCTCTCCAGCGGCCATGATGGAGTGGTCCAAAGGACACAAGCCACATGGAGAAGAGGACAGAGGGCCACATGCACTATACAGATGTGCTGTGCTTGACCCCAACAGTGCTGTAAACAATCAAATTAGTGGCTACAGATAAAAGCCACAAGGCGTCATGTAAAAGTCTGAATGTTTCTCTAAAAACCATGAACTCTGCAGGGCTGGCACTGCACCTTGCCTAGTGCATCTGTTGGAGCCGAGCAGCGGCTGTCCCTTCCGCCAATTGTGTGCCCTCCGGTTTGCTTCACTCCCCGTCACTCCCTGCTGCCTACCACTCAGCCTGCTTCACTTTCTCATGCTCCCTGTCTGGCTCCGGCAGGCACCGCCATTTGCCACCCGTGATCTAATCTGACAGGTCCTGGTTTGAAACCTAACTCTGCCAAGAAAAAGCTTTCTGACTTTGGACAATGACTTTATCTCTCTGAGCCTCACTTTCTGCTTTTGTAAAGTGGGGAGAACCATACCCACCTCATGGGACTGTGTAAGGATTTCACAGGATGAAAGTGAGTTGTATTATGGGAATGCTACACAGTGTAACAATGGTACTATCATGTTTGTGGCTCTGTGGCCAAGACCCTTGTCCCTCTCCTCTCTCCTCATGTGTCCCATGTCATTCCAGCAGCTCCAGAAATCCAGTCTCTCCCAAAATGTGTCCCCAGTCTAACTTTGGGAAGGGGTCTCCTACCATGCTGGCCAGGGGGAATGGGGTGGAAAGCAGACTTGGCTGCCGGGAGCTGATGAAAGGCCAGGCAGGAATGGGAGGGGGATGGGACACACTTCAAATGGGCAGAACTGATACTGGGAAAGCTTGGGCTGTTTTTGAGGGGTCGGGGAGCTGAGAGGCTGGCTGGAGCTGCTACATTTATGGCGAGAGCTGTAGAGAGTGGCTCCTGGCTTTCAAAGGCTTGTTAGACCATTAGAGACAAGAGGCGTAATGAAGGCCTCTCTGTGGCAGGCTGGGCTGCCGGCTGGGCGGGCCGCAAAGGCAGACAGCCCTGGGCCGGCAGACAGCAGAGGGCTTCAGGCAGGACAATTTCATGTCTCCCATCCTTCCCTTTGGTCTCTCTCTGCGTGGGAGGAGGGAGCGAAAGGGAGTGGGGCGGGGGGAAGGTTTTCAAAGAAGACCCAGGAGAAAAAAAAGCTGAAACACCAAGTCCTTGGATCTCAAATTGCCTCTCCAGAGAAGTCTCTCTTTGTATCTTGTTAGGATTTAGAGGGGGAAAAAAAACAACAACCAGGGCAGAGGCTGGGCTGGAGCCTGAAGGGAGGGGGCCGAGGGCCAGCTAGGAAGGGGTGGGGGAGCTGGGCCCAGCAGCCACCCACTTGGGGCAGAGGCAGAGGGCAGATGTCTAGGTGACCAGAGATGTGGGTCGCAGATAAAACACTTGGTGACTCAAGTTCAAATGCCAGATGTGTCACTTATTGCTAGGATGGCCTTGGCGAGTGTCAGATGTCTCCTCTTCTAATTATTTACTTAAATAATATAATGGCTGTAAAGGACAGAGCATGGTATTTGGCAAACACTAGGTAAATGCTAGTAAACACTGAGCTCAATCTGTCCCCTAGTGACCTCCTGTTAGCATCTTTCATGTGAACAACCAAATGTGCAAGGGTTTTGCTAGCATGTCTTATAGACAGGTAGGTTATGTATGTGTGTCATGTTTCTGCATATGTGCATGTGTGTGAGTCTAGGTAGTACTGTTCTCCCTACTGTTGCAGATTCGACACTGGACACTGTCTTTTTTCCAAGGGTCAAGCTACCTGCTGGGCCACCCAATGCACCTGAATCTGCAGTACTGGGTGCCTGGTTGAGGTGGTGAAGGCCTGGGCAGTGATTTAACCTCTCCTATAAGCCTGCTCATAGGACCTGGGGTGCAAGTGCTGCTTCTTAGAGTCATGGACACAAACGAGGGTAAGCCCTGGGGGATTCAAGCTTGGGGGACCATGGACTATTCCCTGAGGGGTATGAAGGGGCCTGAGAAGGAGAAAGGAGCATGCACAGCAGTGGTCTGAGTGGGAACTTGCCACGGCTCCCTAAACCTCCAACCTCGGGCCAGAGCTCTGGCCAACGCGTTGCCCTTACCTGGCGATGACAAAGAGGACACAGCTGACACCCAGGTAGGCGAGGAGCACATACATCCAGATGTCTGGGGACAGGGGGTTGAGGAAGGAGAAGACACTGGGGTTGGTGCCATTGGGCTTGCGATACAGGATGCTCACACCGAGTGTCATAAAGGGCTTGGAGAAGTCGATGGCCTTCTCGCGGACGTGGGTGATGGTCAGGGGGGCCACAGCCAAATCCGCCTTCTGCAATGAGAGACAGACAGACAGAATATGAGCAAAGCCTAAGACTAGCAGTGGACAGAGCATTCCTTCTTGGAGTGGAGTCTGTTGTCTGAGCCCCAGATCATTTAACCACTCTTCAGTTTCAACGTTTACTAACCGTTCTTCGGGGCCAGGCGAGGCCCGGGGTGCTGGGGAGACAATGATAAATTAGACTTAACCCCTGTTCTCCAAGAGCTCACGGCCTTGGGGATGATGACAACGGCATAAACACACACAGAATGGGTCCCTCTGAAAGCTGTAACCGTACGGTCTAGTCTCAAAAAGGTGCTTTGTCAAATAAATACAGTTCAGCAACCTACAAACATTTAAAGATCACTCAGGTTCTTTATTTGTGACTTTCAAATATCATGAAGAAGACATGGGATCCACAACAGCTCTTATTCAAATGTTTTCTCCTCTCCACTTCTTAACTGCTTCATCCTATTCAGGATATTCTAAATATCCCAAAAGCCCCTAAATCCAGTTGGGCAAAAAATAATGCCCTTGTTGAAGGAAGAAGGCAGGGAAGAAACTGAACAGGAAAAGCCAGAGTCCTGTTTAATAGGCGAGGGTAGGGAAGAGAGCAGAGGAGGAAAGGAAAGGGGTAGGGAAGGGAAGGAATGTTCCTATGTTGATAAAATTTCCCCCATAACAGTTTTAATGAGGGCAATAGTAAAAATTCTACCTCTTTGGGCTGAGCTTTTCTGCATTAAAAATCTACAATCCCTCATCCCTATCTTTCCTGCCTTACTCCACTGCTCTCTTTCTAAAGGAGGCCCCATTTATCTGTTTCCTGTTAACCATATCCATTCTCCACCTTCATGCTTTGTATAGGTGCCCTGTTGAGAAAGCCCCTCCCCGTGGTCTCTTACCACCTCCCATAGTCCTTTGCACATACTACCTCTTCCAAGAAGCCCTCCATGATAGCCTCCAATTCTAAACTCCCGTGAAGTTCACTCTGGGCTTGGTAAAGTCCTAGCCGCTCAGTTTGAATAGCAGTATGTGCGGCTATGTGACCCTTTGTCTTATCTGCTTATTTACCTTCGAGCTTCTAAGCACAGAACTCTGGGATTGTGGCTGATTCACTGCTTCATTTCTCAGCTTTCAAGTCCCATCTCAGCCTCCGTAATATTTAGTTAATAATGTTTCCCTCTGAGAGGCTGCCCCTTGGGCTCCTGTGGATATTTATACATTAGAATGTGAACCAAGTTATCACCTCCTTTCCTCAGATGGGGCAGGACAGAAAGGGAGGCTGGGTCCTAAATACTATCACTAAAGACCACTTTGTTAAAGTGTGGGGAGGCTACCTCTGAGGCCCCCTCCCAAGACAATAGCCTCTAGGAGGCTATCCACTGGTTTGATCCAGCTCTATCCATCCATCCATCCATCCATCCATCCATCCATCCTTTTATTAGATCCACCAGGCATTAGGGATACAGAGCTGAGCTAAGTAGACAATGTTTATGCTCTCATAAGGCTTACAGTGTAGTGGGAAAGATGGACATTAATCAAAGTGTTTACTAAACGGTAGTTGTTAACACTACCTCTGACTTCACTAATCCTAGAATAGGAATCAGAAACCAAGTCAAAATCAGACTTCAAGGAGGAGAGGACTGGTATGGGTGGAATCCCAGCTTCTAAAAGGCTCTGCAGTTGTCCCAGGTTGGGGGGGCACTGGGAAACACCACCATGATGCTGCTCACCCCAATGTTTCTCCTTCTAACGGCATTCCCCATACCCAACTATTGACACTTGGAGACCAACGATTCCATGAACCTCAGAACCTGGGAAAGATAGGGACGAGGAGCCTATTACAGGATTATTTTATACTGAGATCTTCCTTTTGTACATTTCTGAATGTGTGAGCTGAAACTTGCCTCGCTTTGAAGGCAGAGGAGGAAGAAACGGGCAGCTGCTCCCACCCTAGATTCCTAGAGCCCTCTCGGTTCAGGGTGTGTATGAAGGAAAGCAGTGAAAGGAGCGAGAACTATCGAGGAAGTTCACTACAGGGACTCAGGTGTAGTTTTCAAGACCTACTGTGCACCAGTCTGCAATTCAGAGGTGAGCAAGAGACACAGCCCCTGCTCTCAGGGAGCTTCTTGTCAAGCGAGCCCCTTTTGGAGGCTGTGGATAGGACTCTGAGTAGGGGGGGCAGGGGGCAGGCACCCTAGAAGGTCCCTTTTAGTTCTGAAGTTCTAGGGTCATCTATAATGTTGGCATGACAAGGGCATAGTGGGCTTTTGATTCTAGAACTTGGCCTCCCACAGCCCTCTCCCTCCAACGCACATTGCCTTGAGGGTGGGGGGAGGGGTGCTCTCTTCTGACCCCAAAGTCATCATCGCTATTCTGAATGCATTTGGAGCTGGTCTCTGGGAATTGCCTCTGGGGCTTGGAGTAGATTCTTGGGAAGAACCTCAAAATCAATTGTGGCAAATCTTCCTTTGGCTTTTGATAGCAAGTTGGATGAGAGCATTAGTTACTGGGGGTGGGGGAAGAGGGGGTGAGAATCAAGGTGCCTGCAGCCAAGGCTTGTTTCATCCACCAGAAGTGTTTCAGGGTTGGTCCTCTTTCTTCCCCCAGCCCCACTCAGAGCCTTCAGAATCTCCCTACCAGCCTTTGCGCTTTCTGCTAGAATGGAGTTAGGGGGCAGGAGCATCTTGGACATTCTGGGCCTACAGCAGCAAGACAACTGGTCAACCTGACCTCCTCTATGGGGAATTTTGATATGTGTTCTTCCTCGGGCTTCAGGAAGGCTAAAGTTCTCCACTTCAATTTTGGTTTAGGCAGGAAATACTCCATTTCACTATTGGTTATGATTTCCCTGAAAAAGGCATTATTTTGCCCAAGTTCCCTTAAAAGAGCAGAACAGATGTCAAGCCTTTGCAGTTTCAGTTCATTACTCAGAATGAAAGGCCCAGTCTTGGCAGGTTCCTCCCACTTGTGCAAGTTTTCTTTGAGGATGATTCATAAAAACATAGGCTGTCAGAACTTCAAGAACATATATTCCAACCCTATGTTTTTTTATGGAGGGAAACTGGGGCTCAGAGAAGGTCCAAGGTCTTTGCTTTCATATATACAGCAATCACATCCTTGAATAAATTAAACCTCTGACTTGTCCAACACCTTCATTGGTCTTATATGTGATTTGGTGGCTAGTCCTGCCTCACTGAGAACATTCCCATACCTTTTCTAAACCTTTGGACCAGGCAGGATGGCCATTCCAGGACATTACTTCATTCCCATAAGCTGCTTTCCACTTACCAAGAATCTGTTAGGACCCGCCGGTCTCCAGCTTCTCCTACTCTACTCTAGCCTTGGATGAGGCCACTTGGTCCCACCTGCTCTATCAAATCTCCAGCAACCAGAACTGAAGGCAAGGATAACTCAACCAGCTACAGCTCCTCATCTTGGCACTGAGTATCCAGCCACCTTGGCTGCTGGTTGGGCCCTAGCCTGGTACTCCAGACTGAAACCTGGGCAACCTCCTACCAGGTTCTAAGGACAGACTTGTGATGGTGGTCCCAGGTCTGACCACTTACCACTGATCAGCCTTCTCTTAGGACAGGGGTCCTCCCCAGGGACTCAAATCTGCCTCCTTGAGCTCCAGCTTGCTACCTGTGTCTCTTATCCCTGTTGGCACCGGCCTACTAAAGTTCCCAAGTATGGTCCCCCCCAGATTCCCCATCTCTGTGCTCTGCCTCTTGGTAGGGATCCTCTGGGCACCTACTTGCTCAGGCTGTGACCCACTGTACTTAAAATAATAAGAACTGCTATCAATCATATCACCAGGATCCTTCTTATATGCCAAGCATCGTCAAGTGTGCTGAATATATTGCCATATGTGATCCTCCCAGCAGTCTCATGAGGCAGTAAACGTTATCACACAGTCCAGATGAGGGTACTGTGGCTCAGTCAGGCGAAGAGGTTTGTTCAAGATGGTGAGTGCCTGAGCCAGGACTTGGACTCAGTTCATCGTGACCTCAAAGCCCAATGTTTTACCATACAAACCACATGGTATGGGTTGAATTGTGCCCACCCCCCAACAAATATGTTCAAGTTCTAACACCTGGTACCCGTGAATGCAACATTCTTTGGAAACTGGGCCTTTGCAGAAGTAATCAAGTTAAGATGAAGTCATTCTGTGTTAGGGTGAGCCCCAAATCCAATAACAGGTGTCCTTATAGAAGAGGAGAGGATACACAGATACATAGAGAAGACCAGGTGACAATGGAGGCAGAGATTTGAGTGATGCAACTACAAGCCAAAGAATACCAAGGATTGCCAGCCACACCGGAAGCTAGGAGAGGTATGGAATAGATTCTCCCTCAGTCGCCAAAAGGAACCAACCCTGCTGACACCCCGATTTCTGATTTCTGGGCTCCAGAACTGATGGACTCAATTTCTGTTGTTTTAAGCCGCCTGGTTTGTGGTCACTTGTGGTGGCAGCCCTAGGAAACTCATACACCTGCCACTGAGACCCCGGGCAGGATGCATGGAACTTCTCCCACCTCCTGCTGCCACCCCCTCCCCAGCGTCTCTGCCATTCTGGTGGGCGGGCTTTATGGCTGGACCCGCCGTGCCCTGTCCTGAGCCCAGGTTGCATTTCCAGAGATCTGAACTTGACTCTGGCTCCTGACCATGATTGCCACGGGGCCTACCCAGCATACACTTCACGCCGTCTGGTGGGGCTTGGGAGCCCCATGGCTGCAGGAACATGCTGATTCACCCTCCTTTCCTCCAGGTTTCTCTGCTTCTGCTTCCACAGCCACCCAAGCAAACCAGTCTCACTTCCACCACACATGCAGGACCTGTTCCCGGGGCTCTGCCTGCTGGCTCTCTGCCCACAAGTCTGGTATGTGGTATCCATGGAACCCCCTTCCACTCTTTTCCCAAGGTGGTGTTTCTCCAGCTAGAATCTTGCCCCATTCCCAATGCTGTTTAATTACATGCCAAGACTTCCCTCTGCCTTTAGGATAAGAAGT